CCATACCGATTTCCATGAAAGTTGTACTAATTTGTACTCCCACCAACAGTGTATAAGCATTCTCCTTTCATTGCATCCATGCCAACATCTACTGTTTTTTGATTTTCTAATAGTGGCCATTCTGACTGGTGTGAGGTGGTATCCTATTGTGGTTTTAATTTACATTTCCCTGGTGATTAGTGATATTGCACAATTTTTCATATGTTCATTGGTCATTTGTATATCTTCTTCTGAGAGATGTCTAGTCATGTCATTTACCCACTTTTTAATGTAACTATTTGCTTTTTTCTTGTTGATTTGTTTGAATTCTTTGTAGATTCTGGATAATAATCCTTTGTACCCATTATAGTTTGTGAATCCTTCTCCCATTCAGTAGATTACCAATTTGCTCTGTTGATTATTTCTTCTCCTGTACAGAAGCTTTTTAGTTTAATTAAGTCCCACTTGTTTATTTTTGTTTTTGTTGCATTTGCTTTTGGGGTTTTAGCCATGAATTCATTGCCTAGATCAATGTCCAGAAGAGTTTTTTCCTAGGTTTTCTTCTAGGATTTTTATGGATTCAGGTCTGACATTTAAGTCTTTAATCCATCTTGAGTTAATTTTTGTATATGGGGAGAGATAGAGATCAAGTTTCATTTTTCTGCATGTGGCTATCCAATTTTCCCAGCACCATTTGTTGAATAGGATGTCCTTTCCCCAGCATATGTTTTTGTCTGCTTTGTCAAAGATCAGTTGGCTGAAGGTATTTGGATTTATTTCTGGAGTCTCTGTTTTGTTCCATTGCTCCACACGTCTGCTCTTGTACCAGTACCATGCTCTTTTGGTTACTGTAGCTTTGTAGTATAACTTGAAATCAGTAATGTGTTGTTCATTTTGCTTAGGATTGCTTTGGCTATTCTGGCTCTTTTGTTGTTGTTCCATATAAATTTTATAATTTTTTTTCTAATTCTGTGAAAAATGATGTTGGTAGTTTGTTAGGGATTGTGCTGAATCTGTAGATTACTTTGGGTAATGTGGCCATTTTAACAATGTTGATTCTTCCAATCCATGAGCATAAGATATTTTTCCATTTGTCTGGGTCCTCTACAATTTACTTCATCCATGTTTTATAGTTTTCCTTGTAGAGATCTTGGTTAACTATATTCCTAGGTACTTGAGCTTTTGCCTGATTAGATCCTCAGCCTGGTTGCTCTTGGTGTCTAGCAGTGCTACTGATTCGTGTGTGCTGCTTTTGCATCCTAAAACTTACTGAATCCATTTATCAGGTCCAGGAGTCTTTGGGGGAGTCTTTAGGATTCTGTAGGTATAAGATCTTATCATTGGCATGCAGAGATAGTTTGATTTCTTCTTTTCCAATTTGGATTCCCTTTAGATCTTTCTCTTGCCTGATTGCTCTGGCTAGGACATCTAATACTACATTGAATAGGAGTGATTTGTTGACCATTTTTGATGGGTTGACCTGACTAGGTCAGAAACACATCATGCTTCCAAAGCATCCCAGTCACAGACCACTCCAAATGTATATCTGCTGTCAGTATGAATGTTGGCCATCTTATCCTTTGCCAGTTGACAACTTGAGTTAGGGCAATCAATTCTGCCTGCTGAACTGACCTTACATCTGGAAGATTACCCTCTGTAACTTCCCTTAGAAACTCTATAACATAACTGGCCTGATAATGTCCAGATTCATCTTTCAAATAAGAACCATTGTGAATCAAATGGTATCTCATATAAGTCCTGTCTAGGTGTAAGAAGTGGGCTACTCAGAGTGATGCAGTCCTATGGCATCTCATCAGTGGCAAAGGAGAAAGAGTGGCTGGGTAAGATTATTACAGTGGGAAATGGTAACATTGGGTGAGGCCAGAGAAATTCCTAGGAATCAAGTCTGTTAACAGAGGGTTTTGGGGTATGCAGGAGTCCAGAAGGCTCCACGGAGTGGGGAACACAGATAGAAGCAATGGTAGCAGAGTGTGATGGTAGCAGAGATTGCTCCCCAGCATGGTGGCGTCTCTTTCACGACTGTGTCAGGTTGCTGTAATATCCAACAAGTCTATTACGGTGTTTCCCTGGTCTTCATGAATGAACAGGGAAGCAAAAGGCTATAGTTAGGATGCCGTAAGGCAGGGGTGGTTGTAAGAGTTTCCTTGATAACTTGTATGGCTTTCGGTCTCTCTGAAGTCCAAACAAGAGGATCAGGGTGATCTAATTTCCAGAGTGTGTATAAAGGCTGAGCTATTAAAGAAAATATAGGTATCCAATTTCCACAGTATCCAATCAATTCAAGAATTCCTCATTGTTACTTCTTTGCTGAGGGCTAAGGAAAGGCTAGAATAGCCTTTGATCCTGTCCAGGTTTATGTGCAATCCTTCCTCAGAAATCAAATATTCTAAGTATTGTGCCTGTGTCTGGCAAAATTGGAGTTTCTGTCTAGAAACTTTATGTCCCTTGAATGATAGCTGTTTTAAGTGATGCATGCTGGCCAGACATGGTGGCTCACACCTGTAACCCCAACATTTTGGGAGATGGAGATGGGAAGATTCCCTGTGTCCAAGGATTTGAAACCAGCCAGGGCAACACAACGAGAACGTGTCTCTACAACAAATAAAAAAAGTAGCCGGGCGTGATGGTGCATGCCTGTAGTTCCAGCTACTTGGAAGGCTGAGGTTGAAGGATTGCCTGAGCCCAGCAGGTCCAAGCTGCAGTGACTGTGAACATGCCACTGCACTCCAGCCTGGGTGACACAGCAAGACTCAGGAGTAGGGGGGTGGGGAAAGAAAGATGCATGCTGGGAGGTCAGCATAGTTGAGGAACAAGGGAGGAGATCACCCACATAATAGATGAGCCTAGATCCCCCTGAGAAATGTATGTCAGCCAAATCAGATTTCAGTAAAATTTGAGAACATAGGTGGGGCTTTCAGTGTAGCCTTGGGCTAGGTGTACTGGCAGCCATTCCAAGTAAAGGCAGCCAAGTGTTGACTCTCTGGATCTGCTGGAACTTAGAGAAAGCCCTGCATAAATCCACCTGGAGGACATCTCGCTTCTCAGGGACTGTGCCAAGAGAGTGTGGGATCTGGTGGGAGCACAGTGTTGTTGACAGCTCTCAAGTCTCACACAAGACGTCAGCCCTGCCATTCAGCTTCCTCACGGGAAGGATTAGAGTAATACATCAGCGGGTGCAAGAAATAATTGGGCCCTTTTTAATGTAATCTTTTATTGTGGATCTGATTTCTTCAGGTCTTAGAAGATACTGTCTAATACAGGGGAAATGTTCAATTGGGTTTACATTCACATGAATGAGAGTGGGTGAATATACCTCACCATGTCAGTGGCAGAGTGAGACCATATGTGGCACAGAAGAACTTGCAGTAAGCCATCAGGGTCATTCATCAGTCCTGGTTTAGAAAAACATTTGTTGGCTCTATTTTTTTGTTTGTTTTCTTGAGTTGGAGTCTCACTCTGTCACCCAGGAGACAGAGTGCTGGAGTTCAGTGCTACAATCATGGGTTACTGCAGCCTTGACCTCTTGGATTCAGGTGATTCTTCCGCTCTGGCCTCCCGAGTAGCTGGGACTATAGGCGTGCGCCACCACACCTGGTTAATTTTTTTTTTTTTAGTTGGAGTCTCACTCTGTTGCCCCGGCTGGAGTGCAGTGGGATGCTCATGGCCACCCCAGCATTGACCTGTTGGGCTCTGCCAATCCTTCTGCCTCAGTCTTCTAAATAGCTGGACCTACAGGCATGCACTACCATGCCCGGCTAATTTTTTATTTATTGTAGAGATGAGGTCTCACCAAGTTGCCCAGGCTGGTCTCAAACCCTCGGGCTCAGGCAATCCACTCGCGCCTTGACCTTCCAAAGTGCTGGGATTACAGGCTGAGCCACCCTGCCCAGCCCTGGCTAATTTTTTGTAGACACTTAGAGGTCATGTTTGTTGTCAGATTAAGGGGTGACATGTCACACACAGCAGCAGAGAACTGACAGGGCTCTGACTGGCCTCCCTGCAGGAACCACTCCTCCACTTTTCTCTGTAAGGAAACGCATGACCAGTTGTAAAGGGTCCCTGCCCCTGCCTGATGGCAGAGGCTCTATGTGGTAACTGTCACAAATGGCATCTACCCCTCAATGCCTCACTGACCGCCAGGAATTAAGCCCTGGCCCGATCAGCCTGATCAGCCTGGTCACGTGTGCTGGTGTGTGGTGTGCACGCAGACACACACCCCACACAAACATCTTCCACGTTCTTCCCTCCTGCACATTTCTCGGGTCTCCCTGTCCTTCCAGCTGACTTGCCCTCCTCTCTTGAGGCTGGAGGAGGCAGAGTGATGGTGAGAGCCCCTTTAGGCCAAGAAAGTCACCGGGATTGCCCCAGGAGAAGGGGAACTGGTTCGTGTCTTTCTAGGCCCTGAATGTGGGGCCCACATGTGGACCTTGGCTCCGAGGGTGGGGCACCCACTACACACCTGGCACCTTCCTAGCAGGAGGCTCATGGGCTCCCCCAAGTGGCTGCTTGTGGGACAGGTGTGTCCACGGATCGGATGTCCCCTTATTCTTTTTGTTACTCAGGCCCTGTCCTGAGTCCAGACCTGGGACTGTGAATGGTGACGGGAAGGAGTCCATGAACTATGGGGTGCACCTCAGGGGCTCTCCCATCCCAGGAAGACCCACAGCCCTGAGGCTCAGACCTCAGCCTCCGACATCAGGCCCTGTTCTCTTGCCAAGGGAAGTGGGAGCAGTAAGGTTTAGCCTAAGCGAGAACAGGGCTCGCCCCACCCTGGGCTCCAGAAAGAAAAGTTTACCATGCTCATGTCTCAAAACCACCAATGTCGTTAGACAATTCACAATCACAGTGATAAAAACAAGACTCAAAACCACTTTACTCTGGAGTCAAACACTGAGCAAACTCTCACTCCCAGACGGCCAGCTCCAGGCTCCCTGCCCCATGCAGAACACATTCGGACAGTTCCTGCTCCAGCCATCCCCCAAGAGGCAGTACACACTCGGTACAGTTCAACCATTTCTTATACACACAGGTTTTTTAATTGTTCATTTGAACTACAAGTCACTTTACTACATGGTGAGATGGGTGCATGTCACGCCAGGCTTCCACGTGAGCGCCGTGCCAGAAAAGCCCCCAGTCCTTGGTTTCCTTTCTGAGTCCCAGGAAAGTCACTTGGAGGCCACCGGGTTCCAGTCCCGGTGTGTTGCTCCCTTTGGCTGTCCTAGTGGGTCCCTGCTCACTCCCAAGCCTGCCACAGGAATCAGTGTCTACTTGCTCTCTGGCTGCCAGTGACCCCTACTGTGGATTTCTGGCAGGGTGGCTGCTGAGGGCCCAGGGCTGCAGCCCTTAGCTTCTGGGTCATGAGAGAATGTGTCTGTCCTCCTCACACTGTGCCCTGAGCAGACAGCACAGACCACGGAGGGGCGATGCTGCAGGGATACAGAGACAGGACTCCTCAAGCCCAGGCAGGCATCATTTCCAAAGGTCAACATGAGGGAGGATTAGGACCCAACCCAGGGGCTTGTTGGCAGAAGAGGCCTAGATCCTGCCTGACCCACTGGCCCCTCGAATTTCAAAGATAGACTTTGGGGGCAGGGGTGGGGGGCAGTTTGGAAACCCTGCCCACTGCCCTCCCAATATCAGAATCTGTGGACAGCTGGTCCTGTGGAACCTCCCTTAGAGCTCCCTGCCAAGGACTGGCCGCCACTCACACCTGGCCGTGCCTGCCTGAAAGTCCAGTGGTCAGGAGAGCATGCAACCAGAGCAGAGGGGGCAGGAGGGGGCCAAGACCCAAGAGCTCTGAGGATGCAAAGCCCTTAGGGGGAAGGGCAGTGGGACTGTCCCACACAGGTGCCTAGGCTGTTACTGCTGAGTGGGGGCCAGCTATGCTGCCCACAGCCCTCTAGACCACAGCAGCATGCTCCCGGGTCCCACCCCCAAGAGACTCAGGCCAGGCCATGCCCCCAACTCCAGTCCCTCTGAGATGACTGCAGGCTCCCAGGAAGGCCTAGAGTGTCCACTTCAGGCCAGGTGGCCTCAGAGGACACCTGTGCAACCACGTTAAAGAGGGCAGCAGCCCCTACCACCCACCCAACAGTTCAAAAAGCCCTGCTGCATACACAGGCCCCAAGGGGCAGCCACAGTGACAGGGAGCCTTTGCCCCACTTGCCCAGTGATCCTCAGGTCCCTCCTCCTCCAAGGCCAGCCCTCCCCCCACATCCCCTTCCCTGTGTGAAGCCCCTCCCCCACAGTCTTTGCCCCTTGCCCAGGGGAGAGGCCTGAGAACCTGCCCTCATTGATGAGGTGCCGACCCACAGCTCAGCATAAGGACCTGCAAAGCCAGAAGTCCACGCCACTGCCCTGGATTTATTAGGGTCACCACCACATCCACTCACAGGGCCACTGAGAGGGAACCTGGCCGCCGCCTGGCCAGTGTGGGAACGGAAGGACTGTGTCTGCTGACCCGGTGCTCCAGGAAAAGCCTGTGGTCTAGACTTACCACAAGGACGGGACAGCTCAAGTGCAGAAGAGAAGCATGAGGCTGGGGGTGTGGGGAGGGGAAGGGAGTGGGCACACAAGTGGTGTTTAGACAGAGTGGAACAAAACAAAACCAAAACCCAAGTGTGCTCTGTCTCCCTCAGGGTCCAGGCACCATCCAGAGCCCTTAGCCGGACATCTCCTCCCGCTGCTCCTTGTTCCTACGCACCTCGGCCGCGTGCAGCTCCTGTGGGACAGTGGGGTGGGGAGCCTTGAAAATGTGGCTGAGGGGAACCATGACCCCAGCTTTGCCACTCCAGGAATTTGATGTGTGCTCCAGGGGCTCCGGCCAAGGCGGGCCTCGCCTCTCCAGGGCTGGTTTCAAGCAGGATAGCGGGTTGCTGGGACAGGACAGCCAGTGGACAGGGAGCTGACCAGGCCAGGGAGGGTCTCCTGGGGACCCTGCCCTCACACCTAAGCAGTTCTCCCGCTCCTAGCTCGTGCTGGGGGTGCACTTCCTTGGAGCTCTTCTAATCCAGTGAATTTATCCGCTTAGTACTGCGGCTATTGGCTGTGTCCCACTAGGACAGGATTCTGGGCCGCCCTTCGGGGTCCAGGGCGAGGCCCTCCAGGGCCCGCCTCGCCCCGCCCCGCCCCCGATGACTCGCGCCCCCCCAAACAGGGCTCCTCCCACTCGCCTAGGGGTACGCCTCGCCAAGCCCCCAGGGCCCCGCCCCGAGCGCACCTTCTCGCGCAGCCGCTCACGCAGCGCCGCCAGGTGCGCCTCGCGGATCTCCTTGCTGAGCTCCATCTTGTAGTTAAGCTTCTCCTCCGCCAGGCGGCTGAAGTTGTTGTTCTCCTCTAGTGCCTTGTGCAGCACCTCACGCTCGTGTTCGCGCCGTTCCGCCAGCTGCTTCAGCACCTGCGCCTCCTGCGTCTGCGCGGGGCGGTGGGCGTGTGAGCCGGGCCTTCCGGCCCTTTTGAGGACCACCTCCCGACTCCCTGCGGGCCACGACCAAGGGCGCCACCCCCGCCAGAGGTTGCTGTTTCCTTCCAGCTGACCACCGCCTCACGTCCTTGCCCTCATCCCATCCCGATCCCCCGGGAGGAGGCCCAGGGAACCCGAGCCCCTTCCGCCTGGGGCGCCCTGTCCTCGTGACCAGCGAGGCCAGCGCTGCATCCGGACTCCTGGGTGGGGCGGGGGCCTCCTTGCCTTCCTCCGCTCTTCAGCTGCCTCCAGCCGCTTCTGCAGCTCCTCCAGGGAGGTGTCCTTCTTCTTGGGCGGGGAGGAGAGTACAGGGCTCTCCGGAGACAGATCAGACGGAGACTTGAGGATGACCTCGAAGCTCTGGCCAGAGGCCCGCTTGTCCAGCTGCTTCACCTCCATGTCTGCAGGGCAAGACTAGATGGGGTCTCAGGAGGCCCCGCCAGAGGATGGAGGCTGGAGGCCAGGGCTAAGAGATGGGGCTGGAGGCCAGGGCTAAGAAAGGGGGTACGGCTGAGCCCCCAGCATGGCCCCTCCCCTAGAGCCCTCTCTTCTGGCAGCAGCCCGGGGTGCACTCGCCCCCGTACTGGTAGATGGTGTTGGGGTGTGGCTGAACCTCCCGGACAGCCCCTCCCCCAGAGCCCCCTCCTCTGGCGGCATCCCTGGGTCCACTCATCCCCATTCTGGTAGATGGTGTTGAGGTGCAGTTGAGCCCCCAGGACGGCCCCTCCTCCAGCATCAGCCCGGGGCACACTCACCACCGTACTGATAGATGGTGTTGGGATGCGGCTGAGTGTAGAAGCAGGAGCAGATGAGCGACAGCACGGATAGCTCCTTCATCTTCTCCTTGTAGGCTGTGGGCATGAGGCTGGGCTGAGCAGGCGCTGTCCCCTCCCCTGGTCACCTGGGGACCCCTTTCCCTCCCCATCTCTGCCCAGTGTGTCTCCCATGGAATGCAGGGTCTGGTGCACACTCCCCTCACCCTCTTCACCCCTTCTCTCCCTCTCCTTTTGATACAGCCTGCAACTCTGTCTTCCTGGGTAGGCCTCCCTGTGTTGTCTCTGTGCTTCTGTCTTGTAGTCTCTGTCTCTTGGCATCTCTATCTCATCTCCTGTACTGATTGTGTTTCTGTCTGTCCTTTCCTGTGTTTTTCCCTACCTGCTGTGGTCTGCATGTTTGTGTCCCCCAGGTGATGGTATGAGGAGGTAGCAGGTGATTAGGTCATGAGGGTGGAAGCCTCCAGAACCTGACCAGAGCTCTTATACGAGAGGCCAGAGAGCTCCCTGGCACTTCCCACCCTGTTCGAAGGGGCTGCCTGTGCATGTGCAAGGAAGTGAGACCTCGCCAGGCACCACATTTGCTGGTGCGTAACCTTGGACTTCCTAGTCTCCAGAACTGCAAGAAATACATGTCTGTTGTTTAGAACCACCTCATCTCAGGTGTCTTATTACAGCAGCCCACAATGACTAGGCCTCTGCCTGTCTGGGTCTCTGCTCACCATCCTTGTATCTTCCTTGCTGCCCATACCAAGGACAAAGAGAAGGGAGCTGTCCGTTCAGCACCACCGCTGGTCCTCTGGCCCTTTCAGATCACAGTCCCGGTCAGAAAAAGAGGTAAACCCAGCTACTATGGCTGGGCCCTGTCATAGAAGGGGAAGCCACCCACTCTCAGAATGAACACAGCTGATCTCCTATGTTCTATCCAGGGTGAGCCACACTCCAAAGCAGACCCATTGATCCCTCTGCTCAACCACCCTGTGAGCTCAGGGCAGTCACCCCACTCTGCAGGGACCCCAGGGTTCTGAGGCGACAAGCCTGATGTTCCTCAAAGTGCAATCCAGGGTCTGCACTCTTCCCACCATGACAGCAGGACCCAGAGATAGGAGGCTCTGAAGCCCATGCGCCCACCTCCTGGCTGGAGAAGACTCCAGGAGAGGAAACCCAGATTCTGTGAAGGAGAGGTGGGCATAGCCACTTGTCGGCATCCTTCCAGGGGGCAGGCCAGAATTTGGACAGGTGTTTAGACGGACAAGAAACTTTCAGGTCAGGTTTCACACAAGATAATATTTTAAACTGAATTGACATGAAATTGAGAAAACTATTGGTACAGAAATTATCAAGCCCTTCTTGGTGAACTGGGTCCTCCCACAGCCAGTGCAGAGAATGATCTTATTTGACCTAAATTTCCTGGTGACCCAGGCTTTTCTGAAGAGAACAGCACAGAACCCAACAAGGAACCCCAGGTGGGCAAGCCAGGGCAGAGGCTCTGGGGGAAAGGACCAAGCCTTGGCAGGAAGGCAGGGCAGAGACACACATACTGGTCTTGGTCTTCAGAGGCTGGGGAGGGAGGCAGGGGAATAGGTCTCAAAGGTGATATTGGCCTGGCTTGTCAGGTTTTATTTTTTCACAAGCAAAATCTATTAATGTATTATTTGTGTTATTAAAAGTTAATCTTGAAAAGGAGAAAGAGGGGCTGGGTGCAGTGGCTCATGCCTGTAATCCCAGCACTTTGAGAGACAGAGGCAAGAGGATTGTCTGAGCCAAGGGGTTGGAGACCAGCCTGGACAACTTGGTGAGACCTTGTCTCTCTCTAAAATAAATTTTAAAAATTATCCAAACATGGTGGCATGTGCCCGTAGTTCCAGCTACAGGTGGAAGGATCACCTGAGCCCAGTAAGTTGAGGCTGCAGTGGCTGTGAGTGTGCCACTGCACTCCAGCCAGGGTGACAGGGTGAGACTCTGACTCAAAAAAAAAAAATTAAAATTAAAAAAGGCCGAGCTTGTGGCTCATCCTGTAATCCCAGCACTTGGGAGGCCGAGGTGAGTAGATTGTCTGAGCCTGTGGGTTCGAGACCAGCCCAGACTTGTCTCTACAACACATAAAAAATTAGCCAGGTGTGGAAGTGCATGCCTATAGTTCCAGCTACTTGGAAGGCTGAGGTGGAAGGATTGCCAGAGTCCAGCAGGTCGACACTGGGGTGGCCGTGAACATGCCACTGCACTCCAGCCTAGGCGACGGAGTGAGACTCCAACTCAAAAAAAAAAAAAAAAAAGGAAGAGGGGGGTATATCCCAGGAGATGTGATGAGGAAATTAGAGGCAGTGACATAAACTGCTCCATAGCAGCAGGTCAGGGAACATCGGGGGCATTTAGAGGAGCTGGGGAGGTAGCCAGGCCTGTGCTCAGGAAGGGAAGAAAGGGAGGGAGTGAGAGGGAGTGTGGACTGGGGCAGGATTGACCTGGGTCCAAGAGAGGACAAGAAGGAGAGACTAGGCCCCTCCAGGTCTGTCTCTGGTCACGCTGTTGCCTTGGCCTGGGGGAGGCAGGTATGAGCACCTGTACCATCAGGAAAGAAAGGAGAGGGAGACTGGTGACATAGCTCATGGCTCTGCCCAGGGGACAAGTGTCCAGCTGGGAAGTGAGGGATCGTGTCCCATGTCTGCAGTCACAGACTGGCATCTAAGGGTCACAGGGTTCCCTGGTTGGCTCCTCCAAGGCCCAGGATTCATGGGCTGCTCCTTTCCCAGAAGGTTCTCAAGGAGCAAATGGGAGAGGGTGCCACAGGAGGGGGCCTGGCTGCAGGAGAAAGAGCAGGTCAGAGGGGCTGAAGGCAGTTGAGGGACTGGCAGACTTGGGAGGAAGTGGGGCCAGTGCTGGTTGTGGCACCAGGCAGGACGTGCGCCGGACACTTTGGAGCTGGTGAAGCTCCAAGAGCATGTCTTCTGCCTCTCATTGCAGAGGTAGGGCGGCAGAGGCCATGCAGGCCAGGAGCCACAGACACAGCCTGAGCCCAGGAAGCCCTGCCAAGGCCTTGAGGACCCCTCTCTCTTTTGACTCCCTCACTTACTCCTTTCTTGCCCCCACCCCAGGATTCCTCTCTTGCCTACCTCCACTGAGGTCAGAGGAGTTGTTAAAAGCAATTTTCTGCTACAACTGCATTGCTCCCCCTCCTCCATATTCAATGTTAGATACAAAAAATGAATTTTGGCCTTCTGGATGATGAAATCCCACATGAGCAGGAGTAAGAAAGAGGCACCAGGTCAGCTTGTGGCAGTGTGACAGTGACTGTTCCCACCTGACCCCCAGGCCGGCCAGTGAGGTGGAGGAGGAAAAGCAGCTCAGAGAGGGTATGTGGCCCCCCAAAGTCAAACAGTATGCCTGGATGAGCACACAGTAAGGAGTCTGGGCCTCTGACCACAGGATTCTACTGTGAGTCTGATGGGGGATCTGTCTAGACCTGGGAGGGCTGGGAACTACAAATGTCCACTTATCCCTGATGGCTCAGGTAAGGCTGCTGCTGGCTGCCCCCCAAAACGGAGCTTACAGTCCCCTGCTACCCCTCTCTCACTCAGCAGAGTAACCTGGGACAGTGCTGGGGACCTGGCATGACCGGGCAGTTACCCTGGGAAATGTGGTCTCTGCAGTTGGGATGCCTGATCTGGGGTAGGCACTGGGCCAAGCCCAGTCCTGAAATACTTCATTCACTCCTCAGAACAAGGCCTAGGGAGGGAGGTGCCATCGCTGTGGTCCCCACCAGATGAGACTTGGCATAGCTACAGCTCCAGAGTAGGCTCGAGGATAGATGCTCAAGGAGCCAGCCCACAGGATGCAAGGAGCTGGCTGTGGGTCCAAAGATGATGCTGAAAACTGAGGCCAATTTGGGAATGGCTCAAGTGCAAGTGATCAGCAAGGCCACAGTGTGGCCTGGGGCGGCAGCTGGCCATGAAGGGGACAAAGCTGCTCATGCTGTTGGGGGTCCGGTCCAACATCTCTGGGGGTGTGGGAGGGGCGGACAAAGCCTTGATGGACAAGACTCCCAGACAGATGGGGGAGACAGATGGAGTCAGTGACACCCAGGGTCCTCTCCTGGACAGGCACAGAAGTCACCTGGAAACTCCAAGTCCACAGGGCCTGAGGACTGGATCAGGGTGAGGCCCATGCAGGTGGAAAAAGTTCTGCACCCCGGGCGCGTGGGAAAGACCTGAGTTAGCCAGGGAGAGGGGACAATGGCGTCCCATCCCCAGGGTAAAGAAATGGTGGGCAGCAGCACGGCTCCTGGACAGGGGGCGGGTTGGGAAGGAGGAGGGGCCGCGGGCACCGACCAAAGATGAGGCTGGTTCGGGGCGGCCACGCAGAGCCGAGTGTTTCAGGGTAGGGCTGGCGCGTCTCGAGTCCTAGCCCCGGGGTGGCCCGCGGGATCCCTTGCGCCTAGTGTCTGCCTGCCTGTGTCTGCCCGTGCCCACCCCTTCTCCATAGATGCGGGTTTGACGCGGACCGGGAGGCCGGTGCGGGTGGACAGTCTCCAGGGCGGGGGGTCGGCAGCGCGGGAGGCAGAGGGCAGAAGGGGAGACCCCTCCCATCTTGGGAGGGTTTGGAAACGGCAGCAGTCCCGCCCCCATCCAAGCCCCGCAAAGGGCGGTGGCTTTTCCGGCCAAAGCCGGTGCCTCCGGCGTCGCGGAGGGTGGTCCCCGAGCCCGCTGCGGCGTGGGGGAGGGGCGCGGTCACGCGGGAAGCCCCCATACTCTCCAGGCTGGAGCCAGCTCTGCTCGCCCTCCCCCGCAGCGCCCCTTCCCGCCCCCAGCGCCCCATAAGGTGCACGGACCGCGGAGTCCCCGCTGCGGTTCTCGCAGCCATCCCACCCTATCCTCGCCTTCCCACGAGGACGTATCGGATCAAGGCTAAGGTCGCCGGGAACCTCCGGGGACCCCGCCCGCGCATCCCGAGC